AAAGACCGTACCCTTTTATGTAATGATGTTTACTTTGAATTTATATTAGTTCACACAAACACTCCATCCATGCTTTTGTTCCAGCCCTCCGGTCCAGTTTAAGAACCCATTGTGGCCCTCGAGTCAAAAAGTTTGCCCACCCCTGCCCTATACCCTTTTCTACCTCCCCCTCCCCCACTTTCCCTCTGAGAATTGCCATACTGTTGTCGGTCTGTGAGGCTTTTTGTTCTTGTTGTTTAATCCCTTCACCCAGCCCGGGAACCCTCCTCCCGTCTGATAGCTGTCAGCCTGTTCTCTATGAGTCTGTTTCTATTTCATTTATTAGTTTTTTGGGCATATATTTAATATGTGTGTGGAGTTTAGAATGATAATTTCGGTTTGTCTTTATTTTCATGATAATACCATTTTCTCAGTTTAAAAGTGTTTAGATTCTTTTGTTAGGTCCCTCCTTGGTCTGCACACAAAAACATGAGTCGGTTATAAGAGACTGGCCCTCTGTTGAGAGTGCCAACCTGCCAACTGCCTTTCACATGCCATCGATCTCAACTAAGAAGACACACCTTTCTGGTGGTGTCTTCGGCTCCTGTACACTGGAGGCCTAATTTTGACAGAAACATTATTTAATTCTGTCCTCTACCTGTTTCATTTTTAGATCGTGTTCTCTTTTTTTAATCCAAAAGTTTTAAAATAATGATCTTATATGTAAGGACTTTCTTTAAAAAATACTTTATTGCCCTGGCCGGTTTGGCTCAGTGGATATGGACTGCAATAGGGCCCAGGCTGGGCTGAGTGGATGCCCCCTTCAAGTGCACGAATTTTGTGCACCATATGTGTGTGTGGAGTTTAGAATGATAATTTCGGTTTGTCTTTATTTTCATGATAATACCATTTTCTCAGTTTAAAAGTGTTTAGATTCTTTTGTTAGGTCCCTCCTTGGTCTGCACACAAAAACATGAGTCGGTTATAAGAGACTGGCCCTCTGTTGAGAGTGCCAACCTGCCAACTTCCTTTCACATGCCATCGATCTCAA